CCCGCAGCTTGCTGCAGCAGCCATCACCCGGCAGAGCTCGGCTCCGTGGGCTCCTGTGCTGTGTGCAGAGCCGGGGGAGAAAGGGACTAGAAACGGACTTTACCGCTGTGACCTTTTTCTCTCGAGCAAGGGTGCTCGTTTGTTTTCTCCCAGTGGTTTCCTTTCTGTCCCTAAATTGGTGGGATGAATCGAGTAGACTCTAAACCTCCCCTGAAGGAGGGAGGAGAGGGATACATGGGCAGCCTTGCCCGTGTGAGGCTCGAGGGCTGGCGGGCACTGTCTTTGCACATTCAAAATGCAAACCACTACCTCCCTTTGCTGCCAAATTGGAACAAGCCCAGTTCCCATCCCCAGTGTTTCCCTTGAAATACATGTCCTGAGGAGAACTGTGATGTTGCATCAGGTCCAAGTGGTGGAAAACGAGTCTGGGCAGCCTGATCGCTGTGAGAAACTGCAGCAAGGCTGCTGACGCGTCTCCTTCCTTCCTTCCTTCCTCCACGAGGCTCGCCAGGATCTCTTTTGGGGCCCAGGGCGGACAGCTCGGTTGCGGCTCAGCCCTCAGCCAGTGCTCCTTGTGTCTCTGCAGGTGCAGTGGCACTGCCGAGCTCGTATGATTGCCGGGGCCAATTTCTACATCGTGGGGCGCGACCCGGCAGGCATGCCTCACCCCGAGACCAAGAAGGACCTCTACGAGCCCACGCAGGGAGGGAAGGTCCTCAGCATGGCGCCGGGCCTCACCTCAGTGGAAATCATCCCCTTCCGGGTGGCTGCTTACAATAAACTGAAAAAGGCCATGGATTTTTATGACCCAAAAAGGTAATGCAGGCAGCAGGGTCGCTGTTCCTTCAGCCTATGCAGCGCGTGCGGTTTGCGATCGCCTCTGGTTTGCAGCTTGCCAGGGGAGAGGGAAGAGCAGTCGTCATTCCTCTTAAAGAGAGGAGTGGGGGAAGAACTGGTGAAATCCACCCCCTTTCCTCTCCAAGAGCTGGCACCAGGTCAAGGGTGGGTCGCGTGAAGCTAAAGATGCACCTTTGTAGCCACCAGGGAGGATAAGACACTTACAGGACTAAGTGGCAGTAGAAATAGAGCCTCTCGCAGCTGGAGAAGTATGTACAACTCCAGCTCCTCTCTAAAGAGCAACCCCAGTTTGCTGCCGATCGCAAACCCAGGCGTGAAGCCGCAGATGGGTGCTGCCAACACCGGGAGGTTTCCGACCGCGCGCTTGGCATGGCAGAAGAGCCACGCTGGGGACGACTTGGGCCGGTCGTGCTGATTTCACCCATCTCTGTTTTGCTGCAGGCACGACGATTTTGACTTCATCTCGGGAACACGCATGAGGAAGCTTGCTCGTGAAGGTGAAAACCCACCAGACGGCTTCATGGCCCCCAAAGCTTGGAAGATCCTAACCGAGTACTACCAGTCGCTGGAAAAAAAGAATTAACACTACTCCTCCTCCCTAGAAATACTTGTATTAAGAGTGAGCAATGATTGATTGATTCCCTATGACACAGATCAGTTACTTGGCATTTCCGATGCTCTGACTGGAGGATTTTCCTACCTGGGTCAGAGTGTTTTTTACTAATCAGAAATACTTTGAGACTGGTCCTTCTCCCCCTTGAAGCTGCTGGGAGTGTCCCCATGGAGCTGGAAGGGGGAGAGCAGCAGGCCTTTCGTTCCCAGCTGGGCGCGGCTGTGGGAAGCCCAGCACGGCCTCCGGACCGGTCCGTTGGATCATTTTGGTGCTGCCAGGGCTGCTCGCCACCCCTCTCCCCCGGTGCAGAGCTGGGACCTTGGCACCGGTGTAAAAACATGTCTGTCCCCGCACGGAGCAGAAATGAAGAAGTGCCTTTCCACTACCCTTCGCCTCGTGCTGCCCGAAGAGGCAGGAGCAGCTGCTAGAGCAAGGAGCGGTTGCTGCTGCTGGGGTGGAAAACAGGTACTTGATGCTGGGATCCAGCTGCTGCCCTCCAGGTTGTGCCTTAGACAATTTTTGCTAACAAACAGCAGGATTCTTTTTAATGCCCTTTTTTTTTTTTTTTTTTTTAAAAAAAAAAAAAAGGATTTTATTTTTTATTTTTAATCAGCCTTGGCCATCACCAGTTCCTTGTGGCCAACTCACTGTTGCTCACTGTTCTTCCTTGCTTCCTCCTGCCTGACCCCTCTGGTCAAAACAAAACCTGGGTTGAGCGTCACTGGTGCTCCAAGTTCAGCTTTCCCTGGGGCCTCTGCCGTGGCCGTCCCTGTGCCCACAGCCTGGTGGGCCCGTGGGCAGGGGAAGCTGTCCTGGGAGACACCATAAAGCTTGGCAGATCACCGAGAAAGCCCCGAGCGGCAAGCAGAAACTGGGGATGCTGTTATGTGCTTTCGTGGGTATCCTCCCACCTGGCAGGATTGGATTCCTGTTCCGTCTGCCCATGCTTTTCCCATCCCAAAGGCAAATTAAAGGCAAAACGGCAAAAATCACAGTGTGAGGTGGGTCCGAGCGGCTGTACCCCCTGAATCAGGTGAGAGATGGCTTGAGCGCTTGCCCTCATCTGTACCTGTAGCCCCCTGTGGGTACAGGTGACCTGGTTTTACTTTGTGGCCGCAGGCCGGTGACGCTGGCTCTGGCTGGGGGATGGTTGATGGGGCTGAGCCAAGAGACGGTGGCTGGTGCAGCTCCCAGCTCTGGCTGGTGGAAAGTTACTGCAGACCTTATCTTCTTTTTCCCTCCCTCCCCTCTCCCCGACATGGACTTTGCCGCTGCGCCTGAGGCTTTTCCGCTGACTGGCAGCTCTTGGGGTGACCGCAACACTGCAGCGTTACCTGGCCCCATCTGCGTCTCACCCCCAGCACGTCCCGCTGGGGCTGGTGCGTGTCTCAGTGCCTGCTGAGGTCTGAGCGTCGAGTCCTCGGCCTCCTGTGCCTCGGCCTCCTGCCTGCTGTCAGCGGAGGCTTCCCCAGGGCCACTGCTCAGCTGTGGAGGTTTTAGGGGTGCGGGGGTGGAAAAACCCATCTATGCACTTATTAGTTACTGCAAGAACCTGATTTGATGATTTTTGTACTCGTCCTTTTTAGTAGATGCCCCGGGACCGGTCAGAATGTGTTTCAAATGAAATGGCAATTGTGTTCTCCTCTTCAGTTTTAATGAATAATGGATCCACACTCAGTAAAAACAATCACCGCTTCTTCCTTTAACTTAAGATAGAGAATGACATCGCCAGCTAAAACCTGTTTTGCTGTGGCCACAGTACAGGGGCTGAGGCTACAGATGCCATTGGGAATACTTTTGGAAGAAGTTTTTTTTTTTTCATTTGTCAACTGTTTTGGGTTGGGTTTGGGTTTTTTTTTTTTCATTTTATTTTTTTTAAGTATTCAGAGCAAAGAGCCCAAATCCGTTATACCTCCAGAAAAATGCTGCCAGGCCCACAGCAGTAGCCGAAAGCGTGCTCGCGCCCGTGCCTTTTACACTCAGGCCCTCTGGCAGGGACCTGGAAGACAAAAGCAATACTCCCACTTCTGATCGCAATGTTCGTCATTTTTAGGTAGTAAAATAGTGCTGTTGCCACTCATCTTTTAAAATAATCAGACAGTTAAAAACCAACCAAACAAACAAAAACCCCTGCAGTAAATCCAAATGGTTACAGCAAAACACAAATGTTGTATTAGCCTTTTAAAGTATAGTAGCGTACTGATTACCTCTGATTAAAATTGAGTATGTGGACTAGGCTTTTTTTTATAGTGTATTTATTAAAGACATAAGACTGGAATTTGTACCTCAACTGATGCATCTCATGATTGGATATATTCTGAACTTGATACTCTGCTACAAAACACTCACTTTTAGTACAAATAAATATTTATACATGGAACTAACTCTCACTTTGCAATTTTTTTTTTTGGGGGGGTGGGGAGAATTACAACCACGTGGTTCATCTGGGGCTGCAACGGGCCTGTAGTGGTCGGAGCCCCCAAGTTCCAGCTGTGCGATGGCCGGCCAGGGAACCCCCTGTCCAGATGGAAACCTCAGCTCCTTTACCTTTTTGCTGTGAAACAAGTCGTGTTTCGCTGCACTGTTCCAGCCGCACAGTGCTCGAGCACCTCCTCGCTGCTAAAACCCTGCAGAAATAGGGGGTGATGCTGCTGCATCCCTTGGTCTCTTCCTAAAGGGGCTGTGGGTGTCGGAGAGCGCCGCAGCCCGCGCTTCCCGGCTCAGGGAAGTGATGTGGGGAGAGCTTGCGAGCCCTGCCAGCGTCTGTTGGGGTTTGTCCCTATTCCCATGCGCTGTTTGACGTTTCAACTTGCTGGAGGACACGCTTCACCCTCACTCTATTAAAACCAATTAAGGCGGCGTTCTTCCGCTGCCCGCGCTAGAGCTTTACCAAGTAGGACGAGCCGCGTTAACGGCACCAGCCTGGCATCTCTCAGGCGTTAACAACTACCACAAGGGGCCGGGAGAACTTTAGTCAGAGCAGGCACTGACAAAGAAGGGGAATAGCTGCAGAACTTCATCAGGCACCGGCGTAACCCAAACCTCCCGAGGAACCAGCTTCCAGGAAGTAGCGCTATTTGCATGTTTAGTTTTAAGGTTCGTCCTTGAAGTCGGGCTCTCCCAGAGCTCACAGTGGTTTACATCACTGCATTCTGCCCTGCCGCTAACGACATGACTTGTGGGATTAGCATATCCCAGACTTTTTAGATTCCCATAGCCCAGTATTTTCCGCCCTGCCAAATTTACTACCTCCTGGTGTTGGAGCATGAGGTCCAACACCTACCAGACTTCCCCCCGCCCACATCAAAAAGAAAAGCAATTATTAATAAAACCCCACAAACCAACCGTGTTTGGTACCCGCAAAGATTAAACTGGGTCAGGACACAACCCGTGTGCCAGAGGAAAGGACACCAGTGAGAAAGCTGCGGCCCAGGGAGATGGTCATCGGCACCTGATGCTGCCCGATGGCTGCCTCCAGCCCTCTTTATTTCACTTTGCTGCGTGTTGCGTTTTACATCGTTACCTCACTTTCAACACTTGCCTGCCATCGAGAGCGAGCAGTGCTGGGACGCAGCACACCGCCCCTTGGGTTCGAACAATTCCCATTACATATTTGTGTCGAATTAGGGCACAATTCATAAAATTATATGAAGAAAAAACAAGTTTTTCACAAACCTACTGACAATGACTTTACCGAAACACTGTTACCGCTTACATTTTTAACCCCTTTGCCTTTATCACGACATAACGTTACATGAATTTACCAAAACTGTTACCAGCAAGTACAGCAGAACATCGCTAAAACACATTTCTAAACCCAAACCCCATTCCCTTCTCTCCAGTTTTGCAGATCAGAGCATGTGACAGAGCACAACATCACAAAACATCCCCACCTCGTGCCTCAGAGCGTCGCGCGTGACGCTTCATGGGCTGCCGCCGCCACAGGGCAGCAGCGGGTCTTCCGGAGGAGATGAAATAGCAGCAAGCCCCTCCTTACAGCGCTTAATAGATCAGAAAGCCACAATTTCAGAGAGCTTATAATACGCGGGGCTTTATGAAAGACCAGTTAAGATTCTATTCTAATTACTCACATCAAGGAAAAAATAAAAATAAAACCAGCATTCATTTAAAAAGCCTCAAAAAAAAAGCAGAATTCATACAAAATGAAAAGTATTCAAACGTTTTTACAGTAGCTCACTACCTTTACTAAATGGCACTGGATTTCAAGTGGTCACGTGAAAGGAAAAATCAGTAACAGCTCAAGTTTTGCCGGCAAGTTATTCTAGAAGAAGCAGAATTTCTATCTTCGTATTTGCTGCTAAAAGGAAGGAGTAAATGTGGACTGAGTATCGACGGATCTTTTAATCTATACATCTTGTGATTTGGTTTGATTCTGTAAGTAGAAAAGATTTCCCATACTCAAGTTATCTACAGATTATGTCTCTCTCTCTATATATATATAAAAAAATGTGTGGATATATACATTTCATACATACACACACGCTCGTACGTATATACACACACCGGTGATGGATCATCTCCCGTCCGTGGCCGAACCCCCCCCAGGCCACATGGGAACCTGCTTTAAGGCTGCACAGTGTATCGATGGCGGGACAAGACACAGGCAGTTGCTCTTGGTCTGGGCTAGAATTGTTCCGCTTTGTGATCTACTGTTAACGCTTCTAGTTGCGCACGGCGAAATTTCAATAACTTAAGAATTTGTTGTACAAAAACGATTCCCGAAACAGAACTCCCTTATTTGAGGAACACCCCCGCTCCCACCCCCGGACATTGTTTTTGCTAGCTGATTATAGAAGTCAAGCTAAATCACGTCAGAAACGGCAAACGTGCTCTTTTGCCTTAATCTAAACTAACATGCATCAAAACGTTCTGCAGCGTGGCATCCTTCGATTTTCTCATCTTCTCAATCGCCCTGTGGAGATCCTGCTGCTGCACGGGCCGAATTTCATCTTCGTCGTGGCTTTAAAAAGGAAGAAAGAAAGAAAAAAAACCAAGGTAACGATTCAGGTGTTGCGTAACGGCTTTTCGAACAGCAAGAGGTAATCATTGCAAAGAGCAGCTCTGACACAGATCCCACGTTACACTGGGAACATGC